TGTGTGTGTGTGTGTGTTTGTGTGTGTGTGTGTGTGTGTGTGTGTGTTGCTGGGATTTAACTTTGGGCTAAGCACTTGGCTAAGAAAGTGCTCTATCGATGGGCTCACACCAAGCCCCTGTCCTTTCACATATTATTTGTGTATGTGTATGTGTGTTGGGTGCACATGTGTCAGCATGCACATGTGGAGGTCAGAGAACAACTTAAAGGAGTCTGTTCTTTCCTTTTATCATGTGGGTCCTGGAGACTGAACTCACCGGCCCCCTGTATTTCTGCTTGATATAAACGAATATAAACAAAATAGAGCCTAATTAAACTTTGTATAGTATGGAGCTGGAGAGATAACTCAGGTAAGAGCACTTGGTGCTCTTGCAGAGGCCCTGGTTTTGATTCCCAGCACCCACAGGGTGATTCACAACCATCTATAACTCAAGCTTCAGGAGATCCAATGCCCTTTTCTGACTTCCATGGCATCAAACATGCACGTGGTCCATATACACATGCAGGAAAACCTCTTCAACACAAAATAAAATTTAAAAATCTAAGCATTAAAAAAAGTTTAGAGTTACATGTTTTAAAAATTGAAGGATCTAATTATTGACTTCACTTTTTTCTTTTCTTTTTTTTTTTTTGGTTTTTTTGAGATAGGGTTTCTCTGTGGAGCTTTGGAGCCTGTCTTGGAACTCACTCTATAGCCCAGGCTGGCCTCAAACTCAGAGAGATCCACCTGCCTCTGCCTCCTGAGTGCTGGGATTAAAGGCGTGCGCCACCACCGTCCAGCTTTGACTTCACTTCTAAATCTTTATAAAAGAGCATACAAAAGTTTTCCTTATATTTGACCTCATTACACAATAATAAATTCTTCACATGAGTTGACAAGTAAAGGACAGTAAGGTAGAAATATTATAGCTCCTTCTATTGAAAACATGAAGCATGAAATGGAATTTTACATAGGGCTGAATCTTCACAGATGGCTGTCACAGTAGTCAGCGATGCACGGTTATATTATTTACAATTTTTAGGTGGTAAAGTCAAAACATATACATAGCAAGTAAGTTTAATACTGGCAAGGTATTTAATTTATAAAACCAGTCCTTAATGAGATCATTGAAAAAGTAAGTGTAAGAGTCCTCGTTAATAATGCTAATCAGAAAATGAAAGAGCTGTACAAATGCCATACCGAAGAACACCACCAGCATCTACCAAGTTCTTCTTCAGCATGGTGAAGGCTTTCTCCTGCTCCATTCTGATGATCTTCCTGTCTATCTGGGGGTCTGTAGGCACTCTATATTCAGGGAACTTCTGTACCTTTTTAATGTAAATCCTTTATACAAGACAAGGAAGAAACTGTTTCTTATAATCTCAAGAAATACCTAACACCAACAAACAGTTCAAACAGAAAAGTTAGAGAATACTTATTTTAGTATTTAGAAGCTTATGAAAGATGCCATATAAAGTGCATGATACTTACAAAATTAACAATTATCACAAATTAAGTATAAGTATCTAAATATAGTTAATTTTTTTTATTTTTTATTTTTCGAGACAGGGTTTCTCTGTGTAGTTTTGGTGCCTGTCCTGGATCTCGCTCTGTAGACCAGGCTGGCCTCGAACTCACAGAGATCTGCCTGACTCTGCCTCCTGAGTGCTGGGATTAAAGGCGTGCACCATCACACCAGTCTTTTAGAAGTATTTATTTTATTTTATTTTGTGTGTGTGTGTGTGTGTGTGTGTGTGTGTGTGTGTTTGTGTGTGTGTCTGTGTGTGTGCACGCCTGAGTGTATGTATGTGTACCACAAGAAAGCAGGAGTTCATTGAGGTCAGAAGAGGCATCAGATTCCCTGGAACTGGAGTCACAGATGTTTGCGAGCCACCATGTAGGTGCTGGGAATCAAACCCAAGGCCTCTGCATGAGCAGGTTACCACTGAAGCATCTCTCCAGCCTCCAGTCTTTCAAAACACAAGAATGCTTAAGTTTGTGATACATGTGATGCTGAAATGTGATGCTTCAGTTATTCACTAAGTCCAACCATAACATACTATCTTTGTTTTGTTTGATGAAGGGTTCTTGTTGCTCAGGCTGAACTAAAATGTCTAGGCTCCCGTGATTCTTTTCCCCTTAACCTTCCAGCCTGGGATCACAGGCATGAGGCAGCACATTCAGCGCATGCTGCTGATTTGGGCCAGGGCTTGGTGCACGCTGTACCCCTGAGCTATCTGTACCCCTCACACAATATGCCCTTAACAGTTTTCATTTTACTAATAAGTTTGAACATTCTCAATGTCTAAAAGAGTATTAGTATAGAACATTAAGAAAAAGGTCTTCCATTGGTTCATATTTTTATTCTCACCCAGAGCAATGACACCCTAGTTTTCTATCTAAAGTTACTACTGCTCTCCCACATTGCTGGTGTGAATGGAAACTGGTAAAACCTCTCTTAGAAGCAAGTTTTCTTTGTCAACATTTTAAAAGTGCATAACCTTTCCCTAACAATTACCATTCTAGGGATTTATCCTACTAATAAACTTAAGGTTACTGATTGTGGTTTTAATCTAATAGAAGAATTTGTCACTAGTCATGTTGGTGTACATCTGTAAATCGCAGCATTAAAGAGACAGAGCAGCAGAGGAAGGAGGATAAGGAATTCAAGGCCCCCTTGGCTACACAGTGTGTGTGAAACTAGCCTGAGGGACATGAGATCCTATCTCAAAAAAACCCAATTTTTTTCATAGCTTACATATCTATCCATTGAGGATTAATTAAATGGTATGCTTACAAATGGAATATTACACAGCTATTTAAAAGAAAAAACACTCATGCTGATATGAAGCCACTTTAAAGATCTATTAGAAATGAGCCGGGCGGTGGTGGCGCACGCCTTTAATCCCAGCACTCGGGAGGCAGAGCCAGGCGGATCTCTGTGAGTTCGAGGCCAGCCTGGGCTACCA